CTAAACCAGGACTAAACTAGGTCTAAACCAGAACTAAAATCAGGTCTAAACCAGGACTAAAACCAGGTCTAAACCAGGACTAAAATGAGGACTAAAACCAGGTCTAAACCAGGTCTAAACCAGGACTAAACCCGAGCTAAAACCAGGTCTAGATCAGGACTAAAAACAGGACTAACATCAGGACTAAAACCAGGACTAAACCAGAGCTAAAACCAGGACTAAACCAGGACTAAAATTCAGGTCTAAACCAGGACTAAAACCAGGACTAAACCAGAACTAAAACCAGGTCTAAACCAGGACTAAAATGAGGACTAAACCAGGTCTAAACCAGGTCTAAACCAGAACCAAAACCAGGTCTAGATCAGGACTAAAAACAGGACTAACATCAGGACTAAAACCAGGACTAAACCAGAGCTAAAATCAGGACTAAACCAGAACTAAAACCAGGTCTAAACCAGGACTAAAATGAGGACTAAACCAGGTCTAAACCAGGTCTAAACCAGAACCAAAACCAGGTCTAGATCAGGACTAAAAACAGGACTAACATCAGGACTAAAACCAGGACTAAACCAGAGCTAAAATCAGGACTAAACCAGAACTAAAACCAGGTCTAAACCAGGACTAAAATGAGGACTAAAAATGAGGACTAAAACCAGGTCTAAACCAGGTCTAAACCAGGACTAAACCACAACTAAAACCAGGTCTAGATCAGGACTAAAAACAGGACTAACATCAGGACTAAAACCAGAGCTAAAACCAGGACCAAACCAGGACTAAAACCAGGTCTAAACCAGGACTAAAATCAGAACTAAAACCAGAATTAAACCATGCCGTGCAGACCACGGCTCCGTCCATGCACCTCGTGCCCACGTCTCCTACTCCGCGAGTCTGTGAAAATGAGTGCCGCCACAACTTAATAATGACCTTGTGTGTCGAAATGGGATAATGTTGAAAAAAAAGCTAAAGTGCCACGAGTCCGACTAAGGAAAAAAATAAAATGTCGGAGTGCTGGGATGTTCGTTAAAAAATGGAAATGCTGCCACTCTGATAATTGGACGTCAGTGTCGGTGTGGCGGTTTGTCGGAATGGCAGCATCTAACCAACTTGACTGGGAACACTTTTATTGTTAGAAAAGTAGATGTTTGTGCCTCTTTGCTAACTCTAATACTAATTAATATTAAGACATAATAAATACTGGATCTGAAATCATCCACATATAAAAATAAATGTGTAGGCTTTACTTTAATTATAATTTTAGTAGGTAGTTAATTTAATATTTTCTGATTTTAATAAAGTGGTTGTTAGTTTTGAGACACAGTGAACTAACTAGCCTGCTGCTGTACTCTGAGCCTGTTGACAAATAAGCTGTCTCCACACAGCAGGTGACTTCAGGCGTGGAAGTCTGGCAGCAGGTTTTCATGAGAGTTCCCGATTTGTTTTTCCAACTTGTGCGAACATTGATGTGCATTTTTCAACTCTGGGAAGAATATTTTCCAAGTTTTCAAGGACCACATGAATGCAGTATTAGAATCGATCCGCACATCCCTGGCAGCTTATACTTGAGAATAACTCAAGACTCAGAATACACCGCTATAACTCACTCATACCTGAACTCCAATTGAAAATACCACATATTTTACATTTAGTCTTGAGTGTAAGCCTTATTTCCAACGGACTATACATTTAAAGGGACATTGTGCAACTTTTCTGGTGAAGGGTCTGTCATTTATTCATTACAAGTGTTTTTGTTGCTGTTACGTTTGGGCACTTTTTGGCTTTCCCCTTTTTTTTTTTTTTTTTTACTGTCTATATTTTTTGGTAGCATTTCTGGGGGCATTTTCTTTTGTTCTTTTTGGCCTTCTCATCAGGTCCACCTTTCTGCTGTTACTTTTCTTGGTTTCTTGGTTTGGGTAAAGGTTAAGAGTTTCTTTTTGGGTTTAAAAAAACATCTCCACAGAAAGATTTTTTTTTTTTTTTAAAGTCTCATCTTTAATTTGGTTTCCGTGTCCTTTTAAAATATGTTGGGACTCATCTTCCTGGGTTGTAATATTTGCATAAAAATACAACAATTCTCTCTGTGACTAGGGTTGCCTCTCCACAGATCTGACCTGTAATGCAGCCTATAGTTGTCTCCTTTAATATAAATGGGTAATCTCTTCCATGAACATTCTAGACAAAGCATTAACTACATCACCATGAAGACAAGCAGGTGACGGACCCTCCACCAGAAAAGTTGCACAATGCACCTTTAATATAATCTGTCAAGAAGATGAAAACAACAAAACTATTCTCTGAAGTAACTGAGAAATCCAATTGAGTAATGTTCTCGCAGGTTGAGGTTTATCAATAGGTCAGTATTTGTGGATGCAGGGCCCTGGGCTGTTTGATAAGCACATGGCGTCTGATAGGAAAGCTGTCTCACTCGTGATACTGCGGACAGTTGTGAGGCATTAATGACTCTCTGTGAATAATTCATGCACATCGATACAGTCTCATTTCTAATTTGGACAGATCTGCCTGGTCTTTGTATCTTTGCTCCACCGCATTCATTTTTTGTGATCAAGATGTGGTTTGCAGATATTTTGACTGTTTAAATACTAGTAATATGTCTTCATCAAGTATTAAGTTGCCTTATGACAAACATATGCCCTGAATACATCATATAATGTTTTGGTGCACTGATCTTTCCATTTTCTTGGTTTATATTGGTCTATATTGCACAAAACTGCTTCTTCTGCTTCTGAGCTTTAAGACATGTTATCACATCAAAAACATACAGTATTTTTTAGACTATAAGTCACACCAGCCCAAATATGCGTAATGAAGAAGAAAAAAAAACATGTCTCACTTTTTCGGGGAAATTTATTTTATAAACTCAGAGACCAGGAACTGACATTTCATCTTGAAAGGCAAATTATAGTAATAACAATAAAACAGAGAACAACAGACTGTTAACAGAACGTATGAGCAGTTATTCAGATAATTATAGCATAAACAACATAACAAGTTTACCAAACTCTCCATCTCATTCCAAATCACTAAATCCATTGAATTCTTCATCCTTTGTGTCTCTTCTGAGCAACTCTGCGATCTCCGGAGGTAAACGTAGCACCGCTTCCTCTTCTGCTTAGCTGTTGTCAGACTCCGCATCAATTCCAGTTAGAATTATTCTGGCCTTTCTGAATCCTGACAGGATGGTCTTGGTTGGCTTTATGTTTGTTTAAATTTTAAATTGTCAATGATACAGAAGTAATGGTGCGATCGACTGACATGATACCAGACAGGACAGTGGCTCTTTCTCTTTCTTCTGCAGCCAACATGCGCTGTAGAGTGCGAAGTGATAGTGGTACAGGAGTACACAAGCCTAGAGCGCCCTCTTGTGGCTTCGGTGTGAAAATTTTAACCTATAAGTCACACCGGAGTATAAGTCACAGGACCGCCCAAACCATGAAAAAAAGTACGACGTATTGTCCGAAAAATACAATACCTGTTTTGGTTCATTCACACATGTTTGAGTAAACATTTATTATTAGTCTGTCTACATCTCCAAATCTCAAAATGCTCTGTTCCAACTTGTGATGTCATGCTGTGGTATTTTTCAGGTTAACAGCTCCTTTTTCCCCTTTGTTCAGTAGTTTTGTTTGGCCATTCCAAATCTGAAATCATCCAAATGATTCTAGTGAAGATGTATGGCGTTCAAAACACCGTGGAGCACTTCCTGTATTACCACATGACATCACAAGGTGGAACAGAGTGTTTGAGAAAAACAACATGTGTGAATGAAACAAAACAAAACTCTTGGTATGTTTTTGTTGAGGAAACATTAGATCAAAACATAGCATAATATAGGCCCTTAAAAACAAAACAAGAATTTCAAAGTAAGCACAACCTTATGAAATTCAAATATTGTTATGAAAATCACCAATATTTCCTTTTGTTTCTCTTTTTTTCCATTTCCTCTGCTCTCTTCTGGCTTTGTGGGGCTTATAGTAAATCATGAGGAGTCAGACATACTAGGAGTCAGTCTGCCCAGATGAGGAGGAGAAATGGGAGCGTGCAGACTTGTACGTTGCCAGATTTGCACGCTGCAGGTGTCATGTTGATAAATGTTTGCCAGTGGGCCCCAGTTTACAGCCTGAGCCTCTTATGAGAGAAGGAAAGAAAGGGGAGAAGTCTTTCCAGTGAGATAATGTATTTAAATGAACCTCGAGCCAAAGTACAGCTCTGAACATAATTCACCGGTACATAATGGCCACTTTCTCAGCTGTCTTTAGACGTGATTTGGAGCTTTGTGTTACTACTTTCTGATTTGGTGTTGTTCAGTTGGTGCAGCATGTATAAAACTAATAAAGCTCACTCTCCAAACTATTTGCCAAAAGTTTGACCTATAGAGGTGGGAAATATTGAAACACTTATTTATTGTATTTTAAAAAGGCTGCAAAATAGCGGAGTGAAAATAGATGTGTAATCTTTCAAACTAGGCTTAAAATGCACTTTGTGGTTAGTTTTAAAGGTGCATTGTGTAGCTTTTCTGGTTGAGGGTTTGTCATCTGATATTGTTTTGTTTTTTTCCATGGAGATGTTACTGTTGCTTAAAAAAACATGAGCAGGGTCACCTCTCTACAGATCTGATGTGTAACTTGGCTTGGTGGCATCACTTCTTTGTCTCCATGCAGAAAAGTCTGTTTCTGGACATCACTTATCTTTTGTGTGATACCATAGTTGAATTTTGCTTTGATTATTGTCATCAAGATAATCTGGATCATATTAGAATATTAAATACAGTGTGGACAATATTGCCCACCCATTGTCTCAAAAGTTTCACATTGCACTCTGTAGTTACACCACTTTAAATGCGCACCGCAGAGAAAAAATAGGCTCCTCTTTATAGGCTTCTCGTTGTTTGATCTTTACATGACTTATTGTTGTACAGAGTAATGTTTGAAAGGATGTACAATTTGACTAAATATTTAGAAAGTATGTCTTTGTCTTTTTTTCAGACATGGGACTCGCTGTGCTGGAGAAGTTGCAGCCATAGCCAACAATGGTGTGTGTGGAGTGGGCGTGGCCTACAATGCTAAAATTGGAGGTAAGTAAAGCCTCCCACAGAGGTTTGTAATTAGCAGACAAAGTTGAAAACAATGATTAACTTTTAATTAGTAAAAAATATGCTTCATTTAACACAATTATGCGCTTGGAGCTGTTGCTTCAAATACAAGGCTACACCACCTCTCTGGATTGTGCTGGTTTTGGCTGTTTTGAACATGTATTCTGGTTCCTCATTAAGGCCTGTAGCCTTTCATGTCTGTGCTTCTCAAACATGACAGTTTGAAGCTCAACATTTTCCAGCCTGTTTCTCTGTGTCTGATCAGAGCTCTGTGCTCTAGACACTTATTGATTTTGCTCTTGTCTGTTACACTGTGTAATTAATGAGCGTTTCAGCTAAGTGGGCCTGGGCCTGGTTGTTAGCTGAAATCAGGTCTAATTGGCATTTTACATTAGCTCTCAACCCATCATCTTTCAATTAGGTAAGATCATTCAAAATGTTTTGCCAACTTTTTTGATGAGGATCAAGCATATGGCCACCTGTGCTACAGATGGAGCTAATCAAGTCATAAGAGTCACTATTTGTGACGTGATTTCAAAAGTGTTCCCAAGAGCATCCATAGCATTTAAAACACACACGTAAGAAGGACTAGGTCTAGGTCTAAACAGATATACACCATGTGGACAGAATAAATCAGAGTATTATTGAAGCAAGTTATTTAAATTCACAGGTATTATGTGCTCAAAGGCTGAAGGGAAGAAACTGCTCTTGTGGCGAGAGGTTCTGGTCCAAATAGACCTTGCTCCTGCCCAAGGGGAGGGCCTCAGAGACTGTTCAGAGAGGGAAGGGTCAACTGTGGTCAGACCTGCAGGTCCTGGAGAGATGGAGGCTGCAGCTTGTCAGCTGAGCACTCAGTGTTCTGCATTCTAGCCCCATCCCTACTCTCCTTCCTCCTCCTCTCTTCCCTCATTTGCTAAGCTGTCAGTCAAATGTGTCATATGAAGTGTTGGAGAGCAGAGGAGGAAGTAAACCTGAGCAGTAACGATCACATCCTGCTTTGCCAAAAGGCAACATTTTATTCCCTTGGACACTTGCATAATTATTACACCTAGGGCTGGCTGTATTACATTTTTACAGCATTTTTCACACTTGTCTAACCATGACATTGCCCAGGAAGGTCTCAAAATTTTGGTTCACACCTCAAACACGTATTATTATTCACGGACACAGCCATTTGTCACACACTGTCCTAACACCTTTCAGGTATTTTGTGTTAGCTGTAAAGTTACACATGTATGTGTAAATGGACCTGCTTCTGACCAGTTTATTCTGGTGTGACATACTCAGAGCCGTCCAGCGGAGCCCTGCTCATCTCTTTAATCTGATAAATGTGCTGCCTTCTGAGGAGCAGCAGAGCGGCAGATAGGCAGCTGGTGCCCCCAACAGTCTCCACTTTCCTTCAGGAGGGTGAATATGGCGAAGTCTAAGCTGCTGTGCTGTCAAAGCCTCCACCTGTGTTTGCCTCCAAGATCTGTGCGGCATAGATTTGGGAGAAATTGCTTCTTACAAAAAGTTAACGGAAGTTGAATGCCATTTTGAAATATCACACCAGAACTGCACTCCGCTGCCATCCCATCTGTGACCATTCAACCCTTTGGCATTTTTTGATGGTGTTTTGAAGTTGCTTGAATACTTTCCTTTCACAGGCCTGTGTGTGTTGTAGAAAGAGCATAACTAAAGGTAACTCTTATCACCAGTAATTACGTTCTGCTATCATAATGTGTAATTGACCACACGCTGTTCTACCTATAGCACCATTGCCTTTTCCACCTCCTCTCTTTACAACAGCTCTTGTTGCTGTGGCTGTGTGGAGCTGTACTCTCCAGAGGTTTAATAAGGCGTGGAGAGTCAGCGGGAAGTAGATGAGAATTGTAATGGCTGTGATTAGTATTTGAGGCTGCAGTTTGGACATAACGATCAGCAGACAAACGGAGCACTTCTGGTGGGGTGTTTAGCCCAGGTCTGAGTGTTTTCATCTGCTTCTGTATTCAAACTGCTGTAGCTCTGAATACCAACGCCCACTGGGTAACTGCCACTTCAGACTCTGATGAAGGGGACTTCCAGGTGACTCGGAAAATACAAAGAAGTTTGTCACATTTAAATTGTATTTGTAGCATGTACATGATTATAAACTTGTTTGAGCTTTCAGGATTAAAAACATAACAACTGACTAGACAAGTGAAGTAACACTACATGTAAAGTTTATGGTTGGGTTATTGTGTGAGTGTTGGAGCTGTTTCAATGTTATTGTTTATCATGATGATTTTATGTAACAATATATCTATCGCCCTTCAAAATCTGTTATTGTGACAGGCCTTGAAACACTCCATAACACCTGTGGCATTTAGAACTCATCAGCAACAGTCTATTTGCACTGCTTGGTTTTATACTATCCTGCCTCATACTGAACAGATTGTGAATAAATGTTGCTTTATCTTAATCTCGCACAGCAGGATGGATTCTCAAGATATTTATGAGTTCACAAAATCACAAAAGTTCGTAAGGTTAAGCAGTCAGGTGGACCAATCACAGAGCCGCATTGAGGTTTGTGCTGAAGCCAAAGGTCAAGTGCCCAAACAAATAAAAACAAAAATGGCGATCCCGGCAGACCGCTGTTCAGACTATTCAGGCTATTAAGGCCATTTAGCTTGTTCATCATTTTCCAATCACTTTCAGCGAGAGCCATCCCAGACTGGTAATGTGTAGAACTCAATTCAGAGTGTTGTACATATCAATCTGGTTAGTTTTATGTTGCACCTTTTCGCCAGTGCAGATTTCTTTCCCGTTTGTGAATTTTTGTTCACTGACAATAGCAGTAAAACTTGATTCTGAAAAGCATTAAATGTATCATCTATCACTGACCACATATGCATGCACATCAGTATCCCAGTTAGTAGCCATATCCCGGTTATGGCAGTATTTGGGATACTGCGTATTCATGCACGCTGAGAAACTGGGATCCTCATATCCCTGTATACACGATCAAATGGAATATTCTGGTTTCTTGACATAATCTTACAAATGCGCAAGTGCAAAATTTTTAAACTTTATTCAATTTAATAAACCAGGAAAAATACAAACAACCATGAGTTCCTTTAGAAGAGGAAGCTCGGGAGGTTCTAACCAGCGGTGAGGAGCTATGAGGTATCCCACAATCCACTGCACAGATCAAACCGAACACTGCAGCAGATTTTTAATTAAAATCTTCTGCATAAATAAAGTCAACTTTACAACATATAAACTATAACCACATCAGCCCGTTTTATAATATAATTCAGCTTTGCCACATTTGTTTACGTTTTACAGAAACGAAACTTAAGGCTAATTTGCCTAAACTGTTAGCGCTGATAAAAAAGAGCTCACTTCTTGTGCCCCTGATGCGGTTCAGTTCTGTCGGGCTAAAGGACACGACTCAGTAAATTATATGTGATTTTTTTTCTGTGACAGAGGGGATGATGATGATGGAGAGTCTGTTCTGTGCATATATCCTAAGAGATATTTCATGTTTAACTTTTCAGCGGTCATACATGGTGCAGGTCATACGAGTGCAGATTCATGTGCAGGTTTAGTGCAGTCATTTCACTCATGTGTGGTCACTTTATTTATATCGCTACTGTTGTGATGAAAAGACTGAAACGCAGTAACAGGGATACTGTGGCATGTATACGCAGTATCCCGGTTACTATCGGAGTATACCAGCTACAGTGTCCCGGGTTCTCATAACCTCATACTGGCTTATTCGGGATACTGAAACCTACTGCGTATACATGCACCATGACGAAACCTGTATACTCAAAAAACCCAATCATAACCGGGATACTGATGTGCATGTAAACGCACTCACATTTTTTAAAATCAATGAATAAGGTCTGTTTGAAATGAAGCTCATTAATGAATTAACTCATGAATATGCAATTGGACATTAACAGTATTACCAGTCTGTGGTATGATGTGAAAACTCTATTTTTTATGATGCCAGAAAGTGAAGTAAGGTCAGTGTCCAGTTCTATATCTGAACAGGTTTTATTTAATCTGTACTTTCTGGAAGTCTGACATGTCTCTTACAATTTGAAGCTGAGATTTTGCACTGGTTCACCATCTGTCCCTTCTCCACACTCCTCTCACTCTTGTTAAAAATGTGTGTCTTTCAGGTGTTCGCATGTTGGATGGGGAGGTGACAGACGTGGTGGAGGCTCACTCTCTTAGTCTGAATCGACAGCATATCCACATCTACAGTGCCAGCTGGGGCCCGGAGGATGATGGGAAGTCTCTGGACGGTCCTGCCAAACTGGCCAAAGAAGCGTTCCTCCAGGGAATCACCCAGGTCAGGCCTGCCCTCTGCTCTCAGGCTAAACCTGGAAAAAATATCAGTTATGGAGCTTAATAGTTAGTTAGACTTCTTAAAGAATGAAGAAAGTCTTATTTCGTAATGAATAAATAAATGGTTTCATTAGAATGATTAAGGCTTTCTTAATTAAAGATTTACTGTTATGAATTTGGGTTGAGGTATTAAAGAAACAGTTACTGAGCTGGAATCCTTCTTAACATTGATACTTTGCAGTAACATCTCTCTGGGGTGTTTTACTAGTATATGTATGTAGGCTGTATGGTGGAGTGTTCATCAGTTACCATGCAAAAAAAAAAGTTTTAAAATAGTCTGAAACTCAAAAAATACGAAATGGATTTAGACAACACATTTTCATGAGTCTGTGATCAATACGGCCATTCGTGGTCTTGTTTAGGAGTTGGATTTTCAACAAAAACCAAGTGAAAAACTGTTTGCCAATGGTAGATAGCTCAGGTGTTGTAGTTCCAACTAAGTCAGCTATTTCTGGTCAAAACAAAACAAAGCTTAGATCGAAGTCTAACTTGAGTAACAGACAGAGCAGGATCACAGTTAGCATCACACCCCAGGGAACGTTGATGAAACCAGCTGCAAAGTATCAATATATTCGAACAATTAGTTTTTTATTACTTATTTAATAATTAAGTATCTGTGAACAGTGTCTCATACCACTGAATGGTCAAATCCAAACTCAAATCTTGGGGCAAAGTGAAGGTGACTAGATTCTAATTATTCTCTGAATTGGACTAAATACATAATTAAATGGAAAGACATTATCTAATGCGACCGCCGTCATTTCTCATGTGTCTCTGCTCCTCATCATAAGAGTTTGAACTGAACAATGAAATGAAAGATGTCTGATAGAAGAGACTCTGAGCAGCAGCACTTGAGACAGAACAAAGGCCAAGTCAGAGCACAGTACCATATAAATGAATGAAACTGATGCTTTTTAAATTGGACACATTTATCACATCTCACATGCAAAACACAAAATTTTTATTTATTTATATTTAGACTTGCGGAAAAACTGGGACGATATTTGGACTTTTTATTGTATCAGCTGTCGATCTTAAATCTTCAGCACTGCTTAAAAATACTTCACTTTGACAGTTTAATCTGAAGAGATAAATGCATATAATGTGACTTCACAGGTCTCTTAAAGGGGTTTGGTAAAAGAAGGGCTGTGGGTGAATTGAAATTACATCATTTCAAATCAAATCAAAAACCTTTATTGTCCCTTGATGGGGAAATTTGGTGTGCAGTGGCAGTACAACAACAAACAATTTAGTCAACAATAACATCAAAAGACCCAGTGGACATAACTCATTCAAGAAGCCCAGCATATTAATAAAAAAACATATTAAAAATTTTCAAAATATAAAAGAGATTCTGTCCAACAGTCAGATATTATTAAGAGGATTAATTGCACAAGGAATAAAAGAATGCTTAAATCTGTTGTTTTTGTGGAAAATGATCTAAATCAGCCTTTTAAATTGGCTAAAAATATTGACAGAGCTTAACGGCCATCGGTTCCTCTGGATTTTAAACAACACCTCGGTTATGAAAAGAAAAAATATATCCTACAGATGGTATAATATTTTGCCAATATGTATCTCACAGTACAATATTTATTGCAGTATTTTAGAGACTTTGATAGAATTAAGGTGCGAATCATTACTGTCATAATCCAAAGAACTAAGTACATATTAACTGTTATTTAACGTATTTTTCAGACTATATGGCACACCAGATTATACGGTGCAATATTATGTTAAATACTTTCGTCTATTTTCATACATTAGGTGCATCGGATTATAACGAGCATTAAGCGAAACAAACGGACGACACTTGAGACTGATCCCTTAGCCCAGACGTCCACGATCCATTGGCAGGTCGTGGCGTAAGTCGCCCGACGCTGCCTCCCTGTCTTGGTGAATGTGTATTATGATTGTGAATGTGGGTGGATAATTTTAGGGTTTTTTGTTTGTTTTTTATTATTATTATTTACTACAAGGAGGAAGAAGGATACACTGAGTAATAATGCGTTTCAAGCTTTCACAGAAACAAAATGTAAAACCACATGGCTAATTTGCATAAACTATAAGCTCTGAAAAAACGACTCGCTCCCTGTGCGTGGATGCGGTTCAGCTTCTGTCAGACTAAAGGACACGACTCAGTGGAATATGTGTGTTCTCCGCGAGGTTCCTGACTACTGTAGCTGTAATGCTTTGACAATCCATCAAGTGGTGCGGCTTTGTAGTTTATCAAAGTCGTACTAAAACATTTTGACAGATTTTTTTTACCACATAAAATCAGTTGGAGGTCAGTAAGCACAACCAGAATTAATACATAAGGCGCACTGTCGATTTTTGAGAAAATTAAAGGATTTTAAGTGCGCCTTATAGTCCAAAAAATACGGTATTCATGTTGTCTGCATTGAAACAGAGCAAAGGATCATGGTGATGTAGTTTCCTGTTTTTTTAAGATGCTGCAGTAGAACAAAGCATACATTGTGATCGACAAAATATTATTGAGAGTTTTGACACTACGATATCCTGATTTTTGGTTTTTCGTTTCATCCCTTCTATGAATGCGCTGCTCTATGCATCAACTGGAGCCGGCAGAAAAGTGGAGGGTAATTAAAATGAATGAGACGCCATGCCTCTCATCTTAGTCTGATATCATTTTATTGCAGCCTTAAATCTTTAGGATTAAGTGGCCTACAAGGTTTAATAATTTAAAATGTGTTCTTTTTGGAGCCTGCTGAGCCTGACCTCAAACTTGCTCCAGACCAGATTTAGCTTCCTGTACTAGTTTCCATGGTGATTTAGTCCAGCTAATGACAAACCCCCTCATGGGACCAAAATGAAGGTAAAATAAGATCAACTTGAAAGAAGTAAACACTTAAAAGTTCTGTATTATGCAAAATTGAGTCTAACCTCATGTTGCCTCATCAAAAACACACTTGGAGTTGTCTTGTTTTATTTGTACATGTCTTTTCTACATCCCCAAAGCTCAAAATGCTCTTTTTTTTACCTTGTGATGTCGTGAAGTGGTCATTTTTTAAGTTAACAGCTATATTTTACCTCAGAAATGGGCAATTACAGATTCTAGTGAAGGTGTATTGAGTTTAAAAACACAGTGGAGCGCTTCCTGTATTACCACACGACCACATTTTCAGTATGAGACAAGAACTCAACCTAAACGTGCAGGATTTGTGTCTTTGAACATGAATGAATGAAACAAAACACAAGTCCGGGTCTGATTTTGATGAGAAACCATTATAACAGAAAATACCGTAATATGGGGCCTTTAAAAGTTCCTCAGAAATCTCATGGAATTCCCCTTCTCACAGTTAAGCCTGAAAATGGCCGAAACTATCAATCAAAATGCACTGGGGAGAAGCGTGCAACAGCAGATATTGTATGTGTGAGTGTATGGAACAGAGAAATAGTGGAACTGACGCAGTGACAGGCCCAGCTGAAGGGAGCAGTGCACAACAGACAGCAGCACAATCTTTAACAAAAGGAACACGAAAACAATTGCACCGTCTCCAAGTCTGACACAAAATGCTGGTACGTGATACGTGCAATATTTCTGCTGCCTTGTTATTTCTGTTGTGATTGTGGTGTGGGGTTTTCCAAAGAATGGTGAAATACTGGAGTTGTACTTTCTGCAAAATGTCTTAAAGGGCCCATATTATGCTATTTTCTATTCTATTATGTTGTTTCCTCATCAAAAACAGACTTGGAGTTGTGTTTTGTTTCATTCGCACATGTTTAACACACAAACCTGATATAATAAAGGTGCACTGTGTAATTTTTCTGGTGGAGCGTCAGTCAAATGCTTGTTTCCGTGGAGGTATTATTGCTTTGTCTGGAATGTTTCATAGTATTGTATTAAACCTTTTTATCTTAATGGACACCAGACCAAGTTATGGGTCAGATTTGTGGAGAGGCGACCCAACTCACAGTCAGAATGCCAGTTTTTCTAGGTATTTTTGAGCTGTAAAACCACCTGCAATTGAATAAATGCAAGGTAAAATGTTTAAAGGTTGTATAGAGGATTTTCCAAGGAACGAGAAATCCAGCGACTGTTTGTCCTTTTTCAAATGTTGCGCATGCGTGAAACCCCCCCTCCCCTACAGCTCCCTACGTAGAAACACCTCCTCCCGCCTCCTCTTTACGCCAGAAACAGGTTTGTTTACAGCCGGTGCGCTGCACATGACTTGTAAACAACTAACTACAGTGTTGGTTAGGCAAGGCGAGAAAGTGAGGAGCGGGGGGAGCGGGTGTGCGGACATTTCGTTCGCGGACGAGAAGTGAGGAGCAGGGAGAAGAGCAGAGCAGGGAGCGAGGAGAGAGGGGAGCGGTGCACGGAGATTCCGTGCCCGGAGAAGTGAGGGAGCAGGGGGAAGAGCGGAACGGGCAGCGGGGACAGGAGCAGGAAAGGGGTGCAGAGAAGAGTGCGCGGAGATTCAGTGCGAATGAACTAGCTACAACACGCAGCAGCAAGTGGACTCTTTCTTTGCCTTGAAAATTACGTTTTCAGACATAGGATATCGCTTTCGTGTCCTGAAAAACGTTTGACTAGCTCTTGGAAATAAAGTACATTTTCATAATAAGCAGAAGTGACCTGTCCAGGAGTAATTTGTGGACCAGTGCGTCAGTCTTTAGACCCTGCGTCTGCTTCAGTCGCGCCATCGCTGGAATGAATCTTCAAGAATCACCTTAGTTTGGCTTCGCTGCTTTTCCCCTTGTCTTCTTCTTTCAGCGACCTCAAAAACGGACTTTCTTTTGCGGCTAACTGCTCCTGGATTCTTGTCTGCCATTGCAACAAACTTTGTGCGAACTGCGAGGAAGATATAGGTCAAAAAAAGCCGCTAAGAACTGTTGCGTTGGTGGAGTAAACAGCGTCTGTGCGTCTTGCGTCTGTGGACTGCATGACAGGCGTACGTAAACCACGTACCGGCGGCGCGC